TTAAATCAGAATCGTGAATTTGACGACGTTCTACTAATTAGCGGACCTACATCCAAATTCCTATCTAATATCTGCTACTTTTACTTTATTAGTAGCAAAATTATCACCATGTCAACTTTTTACTTCGTGTTGGCAATCCAGTGCATATTTCCCCATAGTTTGCGCAGCTCAAACTTTATCCACCCAATTTGCATGGAGAGGAACTCTCATTAATTGTGTCGATTAGCTTTTATAATAGGCAAACAAATAGGTTTATTTACTTTCTAACAAAATCTGCATCTGGAACACTTTACTCACACTCTTCCCTCTTAATTGCAGAACAGGAGCACTAGCACAGCTAGCCTTGTTCTTCTTCGCCATAACTGCTTAATGAGACTGTCATAAGCAAACACATATTACAATTATCATTACCTTATGAGGACTTGCCTGTAAACGGGAGTCCTCATTATTTCCGCTTTAATTTTTTTCTCAAGCTTAAGCAATAATGCGTATTGAGGTTGGAAACAGCAATGCATTCCAAAACCATTTAAGGCTTTAAGTCTATACAAATATTTTGATTGTAGTTTTTTCCTTTTAGGACCCTTATTACATGTACAATTTATGCAGATAATGTAAATGAACAAATTCCTCAAACATCGACATCAAATAAATGTGCACATAATCATTAAAGACAAGTTGTGATGGAAATCATAACGTTGTGGTTGTTACAATAAGTATTATAAATAGAAAACCTTTTAAAAATGGGGTTGTTAAAAGCCTAGCAACTTTGTGTTTGCCAGTACATTAAAGTTAATTAAACAGTAGCAACTTGAATGTCGTTTCTCCTTTACGCTTTGTAACCTAAACCCCTTCCCATCTTGGACCCGTCTAGACACGAGATCAGTCAATGAAATTTTATCGTGAATGTTTCATTTTACATTTAGTTGCTAAAATTTGAAAAGCGTTTGTGAGTTTTTTATCTGGCGCGTATCCTGTATGTGCAGGAGGAGCAAGCCCTGCTTAGTGGACATGAGGTGGACGTGTTTACTAACCTGTCGGAGGCAGTACAAAAATCTGCTGTCACCTGATGTGATTTTTGCCATTTGATTGAGTAACGCCATCTTCACTTGGTGTAAGGTGAAATTCAGGATTTGGGGAAGCAATTTAAGGATCATTTAAAGAAAGTGGGCAGATCGTCTGCTAGGGTGCGGTTTAAATCCCCCTCGATTTTCTCGTCACACTCTTACAACACTATCTATGTCCCGCTTGACTAGTGTAAATATGCTGGATTCTCAACGATTGTGTACTTCGACAATACAACTTCTAATGCTGTATGAGAAGTAAATGACTACGGAGAAATTACTCTCTCATGGGCCCGCAAACTGCATGTGACTTTGAGATGGGAGCATGCCGAACACTCCACCCTATTCGTTTGTCAAGAGACCACAAACTCACGCCTTTGTCACGTTGCTTGAATGATTGAATGTGTTCAGGGCTTAAAAACTTATGCGAAATAATCAGACCATCATTCAAACGCCTTGACAGAGTCATCACTTCAAAACAACATCACGGTATATCATTTTTTAGCTGGCATGCAAACCTCACTTTCCTACCCAGCCGGTAATGCGCATTTATCTTAACGCCCTTGATCATGGTGCATCGCGGAGCTGTGAATGATGGAATGGAATGGAACGGGACGGATTTAGGAGTTGGATCACTGGAATAGATTTCCCTCCTTACATGTGTTGGGGCATCGCAATATGCACATGTCATTATGCCCATTGCCCTTCCTGACCATAAGTCTGGCTGTTGGTCTGCGGCGATGAAGACCGGAAATGACGATGAAGCATTGGTCACAAAAATGCATTCATTCCGATGCGTCCTGATTACAAATGGTTGTTTCGAATTACACTATTTTAATTTTTAAATCCTGAAAATTAGTTTACCCTAGAGTTGGGTTGATCCAGAAGTGTTTTCCCATTTCTAAAAATAATTCTTTATTTCCACAAGGGTTGACCAATCAGGGGACTTTAAATAGGTAATGCTTGGTATAAATAAACACAAATATAAAATATTACCCATAAAATATAAGAATTCAAGTATTGGTACAAATTAGGCATTTGGAAAGAAGCATTGCAAATTGTTGATTGGCGTCCACAGAAAGACCTCCTGAAGGAGGCAAGACAATTTTTAAACAAGGATGAAATATCTTGGAAAAAGTTTTGTCAGATGTTAGGCCTATTCAGGAATTGGTAAAAGAGACTACTAAAAGCTAACGTACATTACCAGTATCACCACAGCATAAGGACTTAACCTAACTTCTTGAAAATGCGGCTCACTTATGCTTATTATTAACTGTCAACAGGAGTCCTTGTTGCTGCCTCCTAAATTTTACCTGACGCTTGTGCCTCATGATTAAGCAGTCTTGAAAGTAAAAATATTTCGCACAACCATTTAGTCAACTAAATCTACAGATATATTTTGATGGTAATCTATTTGCAAGTCCCCACTAAGTGTCCACTTTATACATAAAGTATAAATTAACTAGGAAGGATTCTTTTCAAAGTTTGGAGACACTGCTAAACTCAATAGTGTGTGATAAAATGGAGCTGCTTGGTGGTAGGTACATCCATATCCTGCAGTATGATGTCATCGGAATGAATGGGTGCTTGAGATTTGGAGCTTGGTTGGGTTGAGCCAAAATCTGATGAACCGTAGAGCAATACACTTGAGGGATTCATCGAATTCCCAAACCTTAAGAGCATTATCTTTCAGAATATTCTTGTTTCTTCGTTTTGAAGAAACTGGTTGCCAAGTATCAATTTACATTTTGAAATTAATTTAATGATAGTGTGTAGATTGCTTTTGAGGGAGCAAATCATGGCTAGTTGAGCAAGTTGCCTCTCCGTGGAATAGTCTACTTGTACGGCACTCGCCTATCCTGAAGCAGACTCTTTAATACCTCATCTACAGGACTGGGCGACGGAATGTGAAATTTTTCTTTCTAAAACATCTATAAGTAGCCAAATACGCAAAAGAAGCTGTCTGCAACTTGATTGGTTGGATGGGCACTGGAAAACAACTGGGCTTCCACTGCACAAGTGCTACACTTGTGGAACACCAGTAGCTCACATACGTACATACGTCGAGAAAATATCACTTTACAGCACATACTTGTCTACGATTTTTGCCTAAATGGTCAGCTTATGTCAGTAGACGTCCCTTTCGGCTGCTTGACCTTATTTAAAAGGGAGGGGCTGAGAGGTCTGAAGCACTGAGACGCGAGCTCGATGATCACTAACGTTCTCATGTTGAAGCATCGAACACGTCGACTTCGGGAAAGGAAAGCAAGCTGGAGCTGTTGGATCTGCCGACAAGTCGTTGTCTCAGCAGCTACACCGGTACCAGGACTATACGTCAGCACAAGCATCATTTCAAACCTGTATTTAACTACAATGCGAAATGAGGTAAGTCTAATAGTCCTTCCCCTTTTCCTCCTCTTCTGCCTTATTTCCTGTTTGCCTTCCCGTTTTAGGAAATGTCTTTCTCTTTATTACTGAGTTGTTGGTAAGAGGGCGCAATTCCTTGTTGACTTCTAACCTCATAATCAACACTGTCACCATCTTTTGCCTGATTTAAAGAGGCATTTTTTTAAAGAGTGTTTTAATTTTCCGCATTTCGCATTGGCGGGCGCTTTATAAGCACATTGTTGAATCTGGGAGAGAGTAGATTTCCTTCATTAAATGTGCATCACCCATCCAATTGATTTCAAACTCATCAAAGCCTATTTACTTATGCCTAAAATAATTTTTCCTGCTATGCGTATCCCGTCTTGCCACCATAAGGTAAGTCAGTTTGTAGCTTTGTTCCATTTTCATCAGTCATTTCTCCATCAATTCTATGGCAGATTTTTCAAAGTATTTTGTAGTCTTCCAGAAAATCTACTTCATTTGCCAATATACAAGTACGTTCATAAAAATTTCACACTTTTTTCCACTTATTGTAGTCCTCTCCGGACATAAGGTGATAAAACCCTATACGGCTTGAATTCGCACAATGTTGATCATCAACGTCTACTGCCACTCAGTAAGTAGTATTGTTAGCTTTCACACCGTGTCTTTGTCTTAAAGCATCCGGACATTTTCCAAAATGTGATATGAGCAAGCCTGATAAACCTAACCATTCCCTGTTTATATTAAGACACCAGATAATAGTTATTGAGGAGGCAAAGTTGCCCTTTTGGCTGACACGTATGCCGATATGAATGGCCATTGCTGGAGATGTATCTGTTATGGCCCAAAGTTCCCCCTTTTCTTTTTTTAACTTGCATAGGTCACAACGACCCAATCCGGTATTTCTTACGTTAGCCAACTACAGTAGCTCCCTCTATCCACAATGATGACAGTCGTAAGCGATTCTGGTGCAAACGACGCAAACCAGACTAGCATTTCCACAGCCACAAGCACTTTCTCTCGGTTTTATGCCAGCTCTTTCAGTAAATCATTTATATCCTCAACCCTGCGATTCCCTGCTTTTAAAGTGGTCAGTTATTGTGAGATCATGAACACATGGTTTGACCTAACACTTAATCTGCTGTCATCAGCTCTGTGGAATAGCATGGTAACCTGGGTGTCAAAGGCGGGCCAGAAATAGAAACTCAGCCTCTGATCGGGGCAGCTGTCATAGCTGTTTCTCTTAATGACTGGCTTTTCAATGTACATCTGGTGACTGAACCGATTAACGATAGACAACTCGATGCTCGAGTCGCATTTTTTCTCCTTCAAATAAGGCTCGAGACTGGAGCGAGCGCTTAGACGGTGGACAGTGTCCTAGTTAGGTGATCAAACCAAGTGGCATTTTTACATTCGACAATCAGTTCAAGCCAACTGCGTATTCATCGACAGCAGCCAAAGATAAAATGAGCTGGCATTGCTGGTAGATGGAGGGAGATTATAAGGAATGATCCAAGGAAATTACATTAGGTGGGTGAAAATCGCCTCATCTTTAGGGCACTGCATCAGGATTGAACAAGTCACAGTTACCCACGAAAACGACTACTTTTAATTTACCATGGTGGCTTCTGTGGGTTGAGCATGGTTCAATTCTATAAGTAACTGACAGTATTTTGGGTTTGTGGCCGGGACTCACAAAAATTACAGGATAGATAATGATGAGTATAAATAGGGGACAAATCATTGATAAAATACTTTATCTACTCTATTTAGTATGTCCTTCTTTCAGACAAATTCCCTTATGAGTAGTTATGGCACCGCTTGCAACAAGGAACAATAACCTGGTCCCCCCTCATCACTTCTCAAGTTGCCCACTTCATTTCAATTGGCCGACCTGGGCACGTAATAGAGAAATTCGGTGTGACAGCGGAATTAACGCAGGGGACATCGATGTTGATAAAATGGGAGATCTTCCCACCAAATGTAGTGCAAATTCATTTTCCTCACTTCGGGCTCTACGTTGGTGATACTCCGTCCTCCTCCTCATATAACTTCTCCTGCTAACCTCATAGTCTGCCTGAAAGTATGGTTTAAAGGGCCACCTCACACAGTCTTGGGTCTTTAATCACAAGGTAATGGCGGTCTTTTAAATTTTTAGTAAATGTTGCTTTGGTTAATGCGGTAAACCACTCCGCGCCTCACTCTACTGCTTGCATACCACGGGTTCATGATGTAGGTGACCGAAGAATTCGCTGAGACTCAGGACACAGTGGCTGTTGAGCTCGCGACCACTTCACCTCCAGCAACCATCCCAATCTCAAATTGTAATAGCCAGCTGAGTTGGCAACGATGAGGACCCATTTTAATTTAGAAGTGCTGTTTGAAGAGAGAAGGAATAAGCGTACCCCTGCTTTTAGGATAAATATGAACATAAAAAAGAATCGGTGTGGATTGGCGTTTAAATCAAATGAATCTGCCTACTGCTATTCCTAGTAAGATCATCGCAACTATCATGACTTCTTCCACTCTGGTTGCCGGCAAAAGTAGGTTTCACAACGAGTTCTGCACCCCTATGAGGAGTCATACTGCAAAGAAAACGTCGCAAGTACTTTTTTTGATGTTACCAGATAGGAGGCACGGTAAAATCCCATCGACCATGCGAAGGGCACGACGGTAAGAAGAAAGAGGCCCTCTACGCAACCAACGATTGCGTTTTGTTTACACAAATTATGGGAAACCAATGGAAAGGCAAGTCTAAATCTGACTCCGTTAGAAAGTTTTCTTTAGTGCTCAGGCTTGGAAATTGATACCATTAGGCTTACAACCAGGATCCAGTCTTGGTTGACAGGACTTCGAGATGGGTGTATACTACCAACGTGCGTGAGTCAACGAGGAGGGATTTACGGTCTACTCGACTCCGCTAACTAGCTGTGCAGTCGAAACTGCTGGAGGCAAGGAGCGAGCTCCATCTTCTATCGCCATAGTAATCGGTTGACGTTGGTCTCTGTGTTATTCAAATGCATTCACTCTTGACGTCTGCTAGCCAAGAGTCAGGGTAGGAAGGGGACGGCGGGAAGCTGGACAATTAGTCATCAAAGTCCAAACGTCTGTAGTGCAACGACCACCTTATGACCCCCTAATAAATTTTTTTTTCGAAACGTTGTATAGCATACCTGGATGTCATTCTTGTCTTGAGTAGGAATTATTCAAGGGCATGACGCTGATCGGAGACTGGTGTTGGACCGTCTACAAGACGCACGTTTGATTGTGAACCCAAACAATTACCAATTCTTGCAGTGTTTTACATACTTTCTAGGATACAATGTGCAACTAGTCTGGGCGATGTCTCTGTTGCTTGCCACGGTTACTTCCCTACCTACGAGACAGGACCGACCATAAAATTGATGAGTTTGTGGTGTAGAAAAGCAGCACAAATTTGTAAAAATAGGTTTCGCTGCTTTTGGGGAACCTATGAATATCAGACCACTGGTTGGGTGAACCGTCTAAGCAAATAATTGACTTGGGAAGTTGTACTTAAATCCGAACCCTCGTCTACTGTCATTTATAAGTAGTATCGTTGTCGTCAAAAATAAGTCTTGACCTCAACCTTTCCTGACTGTGTTCAAATCGGAATGTAGACACACAGGGTTAGCCTGAACTTCCTCTGTTGATAGTAAGACGACGAGGAGTAAATATTTGGGGAAGTTAAGCTCTCTATTTGACCTACAGCTATGTTGACATAAATGGCTACCATCGGGGTCTCGTCTCACGAACGGCTCTGAGGTTTTCCTTATCCACTTCACACCCCTTATAGGTGACAGCAGCCCAATCCAGTGTCTCGTACATTCACCAAATACAGCAATGGAACCGATCCTGCAAGAATGGGTGGGTGGAAATCACCTTTTTCCTTCGGTACTGCGATTGGATTGAATAAATCACGAAAACCTGTAAAAGTGAATACTTGAGACAAAACTTGATAAAATCTGCAGATCCAACATCGTGCCATGACATGGAAAATTAATGGTTCTTTGGCAAGTGGGCGAGTCTGTTGAAGGTGGGGAAAAAATAGGGGCAAAAAATCAGTGAAGTCCTTCATCTACTGTATCCCATTTAATGCTTTCAGCTTCCAGGCAAATAGTTTAACTGGTAATTATTGCAGTGGTGGCCGCAAAAATTTCCCATTGTCCCAATTGGCACGTTCAAATTGACCATTTTATTTCATTTCTCATTGGATTTTATACACTTGGCTGGTCTAGCTTGTGTTAAACCGTGTCGGAAATGTTGGTTTCGCCTTTCCCAATGTCACGGAATACATGAGGCGTGCTGAATTTGCATCCACCATGTGAAAGACAAGACATCCAGTGGCAAATAGACCACCTAAGCGACTGACGTTTGTGTTCCGTTTGAACAATCGCACCACGCACCACCATTTAACATAGATAAAGGCGAATCAATCGAAAGACTGGCTCATTTGGGACCCCGTTACAAACTAATGTTTGTTTTCTTGTGTGTGTTTGGGTGTGGATACCTTCACTCGCCTAATCAGAGGCCTGTTTTTGAAGACAGGATTTCAATACATGTATCTTTTCCAGCATGTATACTTAAGCTGCAGGGTTGTGGAGTATGCCACCTTGACAGCTAACCGGAGACATAAGGTGATCAAACTCCCTCGCCTCTATCATAATCGTCCGACTGTAGTCTTGCAGTGAGTAAGAGCATCCACAAGTAAAATTAGCTAATGGGAAATCAGAAGTGGAGAAGAGCCAAGCAATAAAGCCCAGTCAAACTATGTTTTCGGAGGAGGGACATTTCCATTGACCGTCCGATTTGGGCTCGCATCCTAATGCTCAACACTGATGCCACGTAAAACAGAACTCCTCAATCTTCATGCAAAGAATTTACGAAGTTCTGCCTCCACAAGCAACATTGCCCATATCAGTGCGTGGATGGAAACTGTCCTGTCATCCAACTCTACGTCCAGCAGAATCAATCGACCTAGGAAAAGAAGTGAAGGCTAACCATGCACACTGACCAAGGACCGTTTCACGAAGCAAAGCGCCCAGTAGTGTGAGTGGGTCACCGTTCGAGTCAGTGGGTACCCAGTGCGCTGCCAACAGCTGAACATTGTCTCTTACATCGTCACCTATCCCATGTAGCTATATTGGTGCATCACATGACTCCAGTTGTCATCAGTATCCGTTTTAGCCAAGTGACACACATTAAACAATCACAGCCCGTACCGATGTGTGTTTTTTCATGGAATACCATTCGTCCGGATGTGCTGCATTCACATCAAGGCCAATCTTAATCTACTTCGCCTCAACTGGTTCGACCGGCCACGTGTAAACCGGATGACAGTTAAACTGTTTGCTTCTAGATGCGATCCCCCATCCTGTTCCAGGGACAGGCGTGAGCATACTTTATATTTTTCCTCGACCTTCCACCCTTGAGTTGGTAATTATCATACAACACAGACCGCTCTACACCTGTAGCCTGGTGCTATGCCACCACTCTGCCCGACTAGACCAGAAGCTAATATCGAATACGGCCGC